TCTCGCCATAGAAAAACCAACCTAAGTGATCTGTGAAAAGTCTGAATATGTGAGGTTATTCTGAATATATTTGAATCAATATTTTTATTTGCCTTGGCTATTGTTATTTTTGCATATTTTGTTTTCCTCAACCGCACTTTTTTGCAACCACAATATTCTCTTACTTCAGCAACACTTTGCCACCTGTTCACATAATCCATTACTAATTGTTTCTCTGTTTTGACCAGAATTCATAGACTAGCTCGTGATGCCTAGTTCTAGTTTTCTAGTTGTAGGAAACATCAAAACCCCTACCAATCCTGAGGAGATGATAACTCACTTACCCTTTATTACTTAATTCGATTATGTACACTTGCATAGATTTTCTTGCTTTAGTATATACATTTACAAGCGATCACACAACAAACTCTTTTCATCTAACGAAATACATTTCAAACAATTCACAATTGTATATTACAATGGCGAAATTGTACACACTGATGTTGGTGTTGTGTTTAAGTCACATAGGCCCATCATTATAATGTTCCCTCTAGATGTATCTCATCGCCAAATAAAGCAAAAAATTGAGAGAACTTGGAGCTTCTGTTTCATGTTTAAGTTATCGGCACATGATCTCCTCAAATCCAATCACATATAAAATAGTTCATCTTGATGATGATGACGTTGTCGCTGTGATGGTTGGACTTTATCAATCATCAAATAATAATATGGTCGAGATTTATGATGAAACAACGATTGCAATAGATATTTCAACCTCATCAATACCAACACCACGAATAAAAGAAGTAGGACCCTCTAAAATGTATGAAAATGCTACTGATGATAACCTTGTTAAACAGTTTGGTGAACGCCTAGTTGAATTTAGTGAGGATGATGAAGATATTGTTCCATTGCTGAAGATGAAGACACACCATTAGTTGATGATTCTGATGTTTTTTAGGATGCTTCAGAGGGACAAGGTTTGGATGTTGAGCCTTATATATGGGAGTCAACTATTTCACGATGTCAAGGATTTTAGAATGCTCCAAATTTTTGGGCACAAACACAACCTCAACCTAAAATGGCTCATCATGATTTACCTCGGTATCATCATCTGGTTGCAATGCATGACATTAACTATGATGCTATGCAGAATCCTGAAATCTATGATATGCCAGAGTTATGTGTTACCCACTGGGGTTCTTCAGACAAATGATCATATGAGTTGGCAATTACGTCTCAATTTGAAACAAAAAAAAGTCACAAATAGCAATAAAAGAGTATGATATTAAAGCTCATCTTCAATTCTATACCGCGGAGTCTGATCAAAAGAATATTTTGTAAGGTGTATACACCATGATGTTGGTTGTAACTGGAGGATACAAGTATCATACCTACAATGGAAGATGTTGTGGGAAGTCACAAGGTTCAATGCATAGCACGCATGTATAATGAGCTCATTGACAAAAGACCATAAACATTTAGATTCAGATGCCATATGCTTGTACGTCAAGCTATTGGTGGAAAAAAATTCAATAGTACATGTTTCTGTGTTAATGGCATCCATTCATAATACATTTGGTTATATTCCGACTTATTACAAGGCATGGATGGCTAAAAGAAAGAAATGGCCTTGTTGTATGGTGATTGGGATCAGTCATATAATGAGCTACCACGTCTGCTACAAGTAATGAAATTTTTCATCCCTGGAACCATTGTTAGATACTATACTCATCTTACAGTCACACTTCAGGGAGACGTTATCCCTGGAAAGAGAATTTTTGGTGGCTTGTTCTACGTGTTTAAGTCAGCTATTGAAGGGTTTCAATTTTTTAAACAAGTGATTTAACTCGATAGAACTTTTCTGTATGGGCTTTACAGACACGTCTTGATGATAGCTGTTGCATAAGATGGAGACAGAAATATTTTCCCCATTGTCTTCGCCATTGTTAAAAATGAATTGGGGAAACTTGGAATTTCTTTCTCTCCAACTTGAATTCCCATGTTTTCACTCAAAATGGGATTGCATGATCTCATATCAGTCACCTGGGTGGTTTAGCACAATTTCTAGACCCGAAAGTAGATGGACACCTCCCTACACATATCTTACATATTGTATATGTAATATTGTGTCTAATGCTATAAAGAGGTTTAAGCAGAAAAGATAAAAAAAAAGATTATCAACATGGGTAACTATTATATCATTTCTCATTAATTATTTCTTCTTCATTTATGTTTTTTTTATTTTTCAATAATATTTAATTTACTGTATTTTAGGGTATGCTTTACTCCATCCAAACTTTCGCACACGGTTAGAAAATTTGAGAAGATACATAGATGATGTGTATGATTAGCTGATGAAATCCCTAGGGAGAGATGGTCACAAACATATGATGTTGAAGGTCGATGTTACGACCATATAACTACCAACCTTACCAAATATATCAACTCATTGCTGAAAGGGACTTGACATCTCCTGATAGTAAGTATTGTTAGGGAGAATTATTTTAGATTAGGCAATGTATGGACAGACAAAAGTGCACAAATTGATGCCATGATCAGTAATGGGAGAAATTGAGCTCCAGATTTAAAGAAGGCAATGCAAAATAATCAAACACATGCGACATCAATGTTTTCTATAATTTTGCCAGACTTGATTATGATTTAGTTGTCCAAGCACTAGTTCAACCACATGATGGAGGTAATTCTACAACATACACTGGTAATCTGAATAGAAAATGGTGTGATTGTGGTCAATTTCAAGCTTTTAGATTCTCAGGCGCCCACGTTGTTGTTGTATGTATGCACATTAATGTTGACCCATACTTATATGCTGATGAATGTTATAGGTAGCACACTATGTGTAACATTTACAGTTGTGAATTCAAGTACCTCCCAAATGAAACATACTGGCTTACACGCACAATTTCTAAAGAATGGTTGCCAAATCCTCCATTGCGTAGGAAGTTAAAGGGTCGACTTGAATCTAGCTGTATTCATACCGATAAGGATGATCCTCAAAGAGAATCGGGTCTACCTAAACTTTTTGGGCACTGTAAAGGTGAAGGTCATAACAAAAAGAATTGTCTCCATCTTCCAAAATATTGGGCTAGACGCTGAAATAGCTATTAAAAAAAATATTATGTTATCTTTTTACTTTTACTCTTTTAACTATGTTTTTCACTATGTTTTTAGTTTGTATTCTAACTATGTTTTTTTAACTTGTACTCTTTCCACTATGTTTATAAGCTTTTTTAGTTGAACATCATTACTTCAAACTTTCACTTCAATTATTATATAATTACAAATTATTACTAAATAAGTTTATTTAATCCTATAATTACTTAATTAATAAAGAAACTTCATACATAAATTAAAACCATACAAATCAATATTTGTACATTGTCATTTTCTATTTTTTTAGATCTCTCTACAATTCGTTCATTACATCGAATTATGTCACCTTCATATTTTTCTTTCTTCGTATTCTTCTTCTCAATTTCTATACTAAAATTTTTACTTTTTTTCTTCCCTCTCAATGAGTCATTTGCTACGTTGCTTCGGCAAATCTTCATATTTCTTTTTCTCTTCCATTTTCATATTCTTATTCTTATGCTCATAAATTTTGTACTTTATTGCCTCCTTTTCCCACTCTTCATCTGAAGAAGAGCTTGAATCTGAATCGTCGATCTCCGTGCCGGTGTTGTCAAACCCATAAACACCGTTAGCCAAATCATTTCCAAATTTTTCCCACGACCACATTATTTGATATTCTCAATATTTTCTCACTTCTCGTACATCAAAACTTTCACCCTAAACCCTTATTTATACTAAAATCATCTCCCAAAATAATCGTTGGAACTCGTCACACCGGCGTGACGAGTTCCAGGGATTTCCAAAAAAAAATTTGTCCGTCAAACAACGGACACCCCAACGGTCGAGAAATTCAAATTTATACCAGTTGGAACTCGTCATGCTGGTGTGACAAATTCTGTTTCTATTAAAATAATATATATTAACAATGTTTTTTATAATTCCAAAAAAATATTTTTTTATTAGAACTCGTCACGTGAGCATGACGAGTCACTTAATATATATTAAATATATTGAGCCTATGGGATCCACGTCCCACGACCCATTAAAAAAATATATCTTATGAATTTTGTCACGCTGACATGACGAGTTCCAACTCTAATGTAGCATTTGTGGTAGATCTCAAAATAAAAATCAAGTTGCCTTATTGGGCTAAATAATTGTGTCGCTTACAATATTGCCCTAATTCTGCCACAAAATCACATCTAGTTAAGAGCACCTTTAATAAGACGTTCTAAGTTAAATGCATCTTTTCCTTCAAAAATAAGTTAAATGCATCTTATTTTACGTGATCAAACTAAATATTATTTTATAAATTTTTATTATTCTCATCATTGATTTTTAAACAAATTTTATTTTCATAAAATACTCTTAAATATGAGTTTCTTTTTTTTATTATTAAAGTATGTGTTGTTTTTTAAAAAGCGATTATGTTAAAATCAATTATAATTTTGGCTTAAATTGTATGAAATATATAATTAGATCTTTTTTAATTTGATATCAATTCTCAATGCCCACTTTTTATACTTTAAAAGTGTATAATAAAAAATATTATTTTTATCTTATCATTAACAAATAATAATAAATAACAATTAAAAGTTTATAATAAAATTTCCTTAAAATTTAGTATACTATCCATACCCAACACCAACCTAGTTAATTAGCCGTCCCAAGTGCAAAAAACACTTTTTTTCTTATAGTCAACAACTCTAAACATATTGGTCCACATTTATCCAATTCTTTTACTCAATCCTTTCCCTTTATTACTATTCACACTTCGAAAAATTGCTTCACATATTATGTAATAAACAGAAAAAGAAGATGAAAGTAGTAGCAAGTCGGCACCTGGAAACAAGGATCCGTAGAAAAAGACAAAGCGAACAATCTATGTATAAAAAAATACTAGTTAAAAACAAAGGATCCGTGACATGGAAGACTTGGAAGGGAACCCAATTTCCTTTTTTTGAATATAAAATCTAATAGCAGTTAAACCAAAGCTAAATATTTTACAGAGAAATGAACCAACCCCACTAAATATGTATCTCCTTGGATATTGACAGTGTTTGTTGAACTGGGAATGGTTTGACTAGGACTAGGAGGATTCGAGGATGAGATTGGTGGTTTGTGCAATGGACAGGGAATGGTTATGATCGCCTTCGTAGGTGACAATTAGCATCGATGGATCATCCAAGGCTCTTTCCACGTGCTTCCGAGCCGGACATCCTCTTACGCTGCTGCACTTGTAGTAGCCCCTGCAAGAGCGTTGTTCATGTTGGAATTTCCAGCAACAACAAAAAAGTGTTGAAACTAATGAAAATATACCTTGGATGTGGAGATCCTTTGATTGGTTTTTGACCGTACTTCCTCCATGAGTAATCGTCCGGTGGAATATCAGCCATCTTCAGATTTATTGCTGGAATCCTTACTACCCTTTTCGATCTCAGTTTTCTGGGAAATTTAATAAGAAACTCAGCATGAGAACTGGTTTTTAAGAACTTGGAAATTGAAAGAGAAATTAATGGAATATGTAGTACCTTTTCTTGGAGCAATGGCAGGGACCGGAGGACCCACTACACTTGCTGGAACCCAAGTTGTCGGAGTTATTACACTTCCTCGTGAAAGAAGAAGAAGAAGACCAAGGAGGCTTCCCAACCGAGGAAACCTGAGAAAGATTAGTAATTTGAAACGGTGATAACGATGAAGATGGCTGCTTGCTATCAGTATCTCCGGTCAAAGATGACATAAATGAATTCCCAGTGGAAGAAAACGAAAAATTAATGGTTTTGGATGAATCTTTCCTCTCTAAAACCCCACTTTTCACCGTCAAAAAATCATGATGATAAGTAGTAGCCGGTGGCGGATTCTGCTGGATCGGCGTTGCGTAATAAACTTTAGCTTCTTGCTCTTGGTTTCGGTTAACGGGTTGTACTAAAGGGGCTCGTCTGAAACGAGCGTGGCCGATCCTGGTTCGACCAAGAAGAGAGATAATTCTCTTGAACTTTGAAACGGCAACGTCAGCTGCTGCTTCCAAATCAAGGGAAGATGTTGTTGAGATAGAAGAAGGTTGATACTTGTCTTGATTATTATTATTTTGGTGGTGGTGTTGAGTTTGAGAAACTAATCTGATGAGTTCCTCAACGCTTTCGAGTCCAGAAGCGGCTTCCTGGACGGCGTTTTCTTCCATTTTGGCTCCCAAGTAGCTGCCGTTCCGATAATTGGTCATGAACTCCACCGCCATGTCCTCTACAAAAAAGGGAAGGAGGAGGAGATTAGGAGAGAAGGGTTGTTGATACTTAATAAAGGGAACACTGGTCTTTGGTCAATATGATGCCATCCACTTTGGAGCCTGATTGCTCTATTAGGTTACTGACCTGTCATTTTAACATTTGCCCTCCAATATTGGTACTAATAACAAGATCCAACGACATTGAAAATTATAATTATTTCATACCCCCGATAACTGCATATTTACTTGGGGAAAATATTTCAGTCTTTTAAATATTCATTTCCATAAACAGTGTGGTTATTGTGAATGTGCATAGGTGAAGCAACACTCCCTCTAGATTTGGTAAAAATTCAAATTTAATTTAAATCGTTTAAACATTCAATTACATAGAGATTGTATTTTAACGCCATTTTTTAAAAATTAAGGCTTTAATATAAAAATTTTAAACACGATTTTTTAGGTTTTGACCCTAAAAGTTATAATTTTGTCTCCATCACTTAACATAAAATTCATTATTTCACAGGCCTACACATGTAGATACAAAAAAGCTTTGATTTCTCTTTCATTGAATTTGTTAAAGAATCCAACAAACTTAAATTTATGTAAAATTAAAAAGTTTAATGTTATATAATAGATCTTATCTTAATAATAATTTCTAAAAGTTAAAATGATAGTTCAAATAATTGAATTTTCAATATTATAAGATTTATAATAACAGTTCCCAGGATGTACTTTTCAAGGAGAACAATGCAAAATATGACCAGGAAGGACTTACTTCCTACGTATTTTAAATTATTATATATTTTAAAAAATTATATTTTTATTAATAATTTATTTTTATCTATTAAAATTTTACGAATTCATTCTTTTAAATTTATAAAAGTTGTCACTTACTATAAAATATGGTCGTAGTTTTGATAGGCAGGCTTATTTGCTTGATTTGAAGAAACTTGTTTCACGTTTTATTTAAAAAGAAGAAAATAAAAGGAAGAAGAATGAGTTTCCATGAACGTGAGCCGACTACGTACCAAAAGTCAAAGACAGAAGGGGAGCAGCCACGAAATTGAGGTGAAGCTGCAAACAGACAAGAGCCTGCCTAAATTGTTGACTGCCTCTCCTTATTAATCTCACACATTTCGTCCCACTCTTTCATCCGCTTTCATGCATGTTTTCCTTTTGTTTTCTTTTGGTTTTGAAATTTTTTTCCTTTTGGTTTTGAAATTTTTTTCCTTTTGGTTTTTAATATTTCACTTTGACTAATTCATATCGATGATTGGATAGGTGTTGTGTAACATTCGTCATGTGTCTTGAACTTGTTTTTGTATGTTGAAGTGGGTTACTAGCCGTTTGGGAAGGTTTGAGCCATTGGAAAACTTTCTGCACACAAAGTTTCGAAACTCTCGGAAAGTTTCGAAACTTTTCGAAAGAGTCGGTGGAAAAAATCTGTGTTTAGTTAATCGATCGATGAAATAGCCAAGAGGGGGTGAATTGGCAATTAAAAATTTTGGTAGAAACTTTTGCAGAAAATTGAAAATATTTGCACAGCGATTTAGAGTGGTTCGACTTTCTCAACCAAAGTCTACGTCCAATACCTTAGCTATCCACACTAAGGATTTTCCAACAAATTCACTAATTTGTTCTTTCTTTTGAGGACAAAGAATAACCTTACAACTCCCTCAAGAATTATACCCCAAATTCTTGAGAACGCTCTCTCCCAAAGAGAAATACACAAATTTGCAAACTTACAAGAAAACCTCACAAGGTAAGATGTTTGTACAATTCTAGAACAAAGAAAGAACACTCAAAAATGAATACAATTGAACACAATAAGTGTTCTTGAAAGCAAAATGAATATTGAATGAAAATTTGGCTTTAAATGCTCAAACTTGAGGTTTGATGCTTTCTCTTTGATTATATTGCTTCTCTTCTTAATTGTTGTTGATAAATAGCTCCTAAGCTTGTTTAAATACTCCTTGGATCACTTCTGAACGTCGGGGATCATTAGTGGAGTCAATAGAGCCGTTATTGTGTGAAAACAATTAAATAAAACACTTGGGAGCGTGTATGCATCGATGCATAGCCAAGGTGCATCGGTACACTATGTGTAAAATTCAAATATTTCAACCGTTATAAGACTTAGTGCATCGGTACAGTAGGGGTGCATCGGTACACTAATTACATTCGATGCTTCAAACAAGCCAGGAGTGCATCGATGCATGGTCTGTGCATCGGTACACAAAATGCATTTGATGTTTCAAAATATTAAAGAGTCCATCGATGTATGGCTTGTGCATCGGTACTCAAATTGCATTCGAAATGGGTGTGCATCGATGCATCAAATGAATGCATTGATACATCCCTTCATAAAATTATTTTTTGGCTCGTTTTTTGTTCGAAATACTTTGTGAAAATTGTTTCAAAAAAATTTAAGTATAAAACACAAGTTTACACTTAGTAAGGATTGAAATTGACCTTTGAAATCCTTGGAGTAATATTTGTGATATTCGAATAATTAAATCGAATATTCTTTCAAAATGATTTGTAAAATCTTAAAATTCATGTATACTTAATTTGTTATATCGAAATATCAAAATGTTTTCAACAATCTCCCCCTTTTTGATATAACAAAACATTTAAGTAATTTTAAGATTTTCTTTGAAAAAACATTTTTGAAAATCATTTTGTAAAAATTACTCCCCTTACTAGAACACATCTTCTCCCCCTTTTTGTTAAATCAAAATGACTCTAAAAACGTTTTTAAACAAGACTTTGAAAAATTTAGCCAATTGATTTTAAATAAATATAGCTTAAGCTGTTACGATCACAATCAAGAGAAAGTTAGCCATTAGTTTCATAAAACAATATTCATAATCAAATGTGCAATGGTAAATTGGTCATATTCTAAATGATAAATGATGCAAAATAATAAACATTAAGCTCAAACTGAAAATTCAAACCAAACCAAATATATATATATATTAAGTTCAATCATCCAAAGCATTCAAGTTTACACAACCAACATCCATAACAAATTCAAATAATCCAAAACAATCCAAAAACATCAAAATGTTTATTAATAAGTTCGAAATCCAATCCAAGAAAACTAAAGCAAGGCAAGGTTTAATCCATAAGAGGATCGGGAGGAGGAGGAGGATAGCGTGCTCGCATCTCGAGTGTGAGCGCATCTAAACGTTCGTTCATCTCTCGTTATTGAGCCCCCATAGCAGTGAGATGGGAGTCAATGGATTCAAACTGTAGATCAAATGTCTCCAAGAATAATCGAAAGTATGGAGGCACTTGATCCTCTTGCTGTGTCGGCTCGTCCTCGGGTGCTTCATCGTCAATATCATCGATATCTTGTATAAGTTGCTGAAGCTCTGGATCATCGTTCGTTGCCGGTGCTGGAGGAGGTGGAGCTCGTGAAGAGCTTGCTCCTGGTGTTTTCTTAGTGGGTCGATAAACCCATTGATCAGTTTCCTTAACCTTTTTCCATCCCGATTTCTTTAAGAAAGTGAGATTGAGTTGGTTCTGGAGAGGGTGGGAATATCAAGACTGACCCTAAGATAGAGTTTGATAAACAAGTTACTCAGAAGACAGCCATAAACTAAAGTTTCTATATTCTTAGATGGGACAGTGATTACGGTATCTATCAACTCACAAAAAATTATCTGTGACAAATTTATTTTCTTGTTATGTTGGATACAATGTATCCACCATAAATCTATGACCCTAAGAGAGGAGTACCTACCTCCGGATTGTCTAAACCACCAAGAGATCATCAAATGTAGAAATCGATCGTGTTGAGATCGTAAGGTACTAACACTATCTTTAGACTTATAGGGTGATGCCACAGTCTCTTTTTCATTATATAAACCTAAGTTGTCTAGTCTAAAATGGGTAGCGATCGTGCCGGAGTCAATAAAAATGAATTGACCTAAAAGATAGGATTAAATTCCTATGGTTTCGGTTCGACGCTCGTTTTGGACACAAACCGCATTGGAATAAAGATGCGGACTAATTGATGATAAACAATAGATTTGAGTTTAAAGAGTTTATCAAACTTCCAGGATTTAAGAGTAGAAAGATATTGAAAATTCATATCTTCCATAGCTTGGATTGAAGGAATATGCTCTTCTCGGATCTTGTATGACTAAAAAAAGTACGGTACCTATGGTAGAGATCTTATCTACGACTAGGCACATTGAAACAAGAGTTAAGAATAGTCATGTTTGGGTCATTTGGGTTCCGATTTGGATTAGGAAGAGGAATAGGAGGTCGTTTTTGACTCGAACGACTAGACGATGTCCTAGGTCGTTTAGGATTAGACATGGTTTACGAAATCGGAATAGGATAGGGTAACCTGCAAATTTGAAACACATGTATGCAATTTAACCAATCCCAAAACTCAAATGAGTCCTCAATATTTCAAGGTTCTCTAAACCGAATCCTAATGGGCAAAGTTTTGAAAACTATTTGGAAAACAATGTTTGAAGATCATAATTCGTATAGTTTTCATGAAAACAACATAATTGAATAAAAAAACATTAATTAAAATAATAAATTTCAGTTTTTTTATTTCAAAATTCAAAGAAAAATTTGAAAAATTATGTGTTTTTGACGGAATTGGTTGTAAAATCTAGTTTAGAATCATCATATAATCAATGACCGATGTAAAGTTCATCTTAGAACTAATAAAAACTAGTTCTAAGTTCAAAAATCAATAAAACAGAGGTTTTTGAAATATTACCTTGAAAATCCAGATTTTATGAGAATGTGATGTTGTTTGCACTTGATTAATGATAGTAGTAGGATTTGGAGTTGAAATGCAAAAGGATTCTGACTTAAAATGTTGATTTAAAACAATAGAGAGATTTGAGTGAGAGAGAGGTGTATGACGTGAGTGTATGGGAGTTTAGGGGTTTTGAAATAAGGAAGAAATCAAACATTTAAGCCCAAAAACCCGATGGGCGTATCGATGCACAGCAGAGTGGATCGATTCACATTCAAGGAATGCATCGGTGTACCTTCATGGTGTATCGATGCACATTCAAGGGATGCATCGGTACACT